GGCTGTCCGGTCTTCACTTCATCCCTGCATAGTTTCTTCAGCTGGAATGGTGAGGTTTTAAACGGAGTGGTCATGTGCAGCTGCTTGCACACTTAATCCAGATTCCTCAGGCCAACTGTGTCAATAGACTCCGTTTGGAAGGTGAAAGAGGATGACATTAAAAGTGTCTGTACAGTCCCTATCTAAATGACCCAAAAGACAGCAGTATTTGTATATAGAAGCAAATTCGATCAGCTTTCGGTCGTTTAGTAAGAGAGTGATCAAACAAAAAGTGATACAATGCTTTTTCGAATTAATCATTGGTTTCCACTGCATCAGGGTAATTGTAAAACTGAAGTGGAGACCACCACACTCAGCCTACAGTAATGGGAATCAACAGGTATGACCCCAAAGTTCTAGTACAACGAACTACGTCCGATAAGTTGCGGCTGATCGGTTTGTTCAGTGGAACCCTTGATTTAGCAGTCCTTATATACACATCCCGTTACCATGAAGTCGGTGGGACACAGGAAGATGTAGAAGCCAGTAGAAGCCGTTCGTGGCAGAAATCTCGTTGACCGCTAAGCTTATCGTCGTCATTAATCTGGTGAACGACATTATTATGGTTCTGTCTTCTGACCTTGAATTACACTCTCAAAACGGGGCTTTTCTGAGTGGCAGTTCAAACTTACAGGTTCTGGCAGTGAGAGACACGAAACAGTCGAGGGGTTTCTGGAAGCATGATATTCTAGATCACACTGAGAAAAAACCAACCTGAGGAACCCGATCTAATCTGCGCACCTGTATGCCAACTCTACTAGGGAGCTCAGGCGGAAAGGACTAGCATGTCACCAGATCGGTTGGCAGGGTCGACCGTAAAAACAACGGCACGTAGGTACCCCGGTTGGATGTACCAAGTGAGGCGCATGGTGGACACGTGATAACAGTGGATTGAAGTGATCGTCTGGAAAAGTGTTCAAGGCGTCCTAAAAGTATGCAGTCGCTGCAAAGTGGGAGAGTTTATGTGCAGTTTCTAAAAATCGGTGATTATGGATGCGAACGTTCTTCATGCTACCCGAGGCACCAGACAGATTACTGGGCTGTATTGTCGAAAGGCCAAAACAATCCTAGTCTCCACGAGTCAATAGTCTCAAAAATTCCTTGCTCTTGTTTGAAACGTGTAAACGAACAGACTGTGAAACAATATATACACTTCTAGACATCTAAGGACTTCTCAGGAAGTTTGTCTGTTTAGGACCTTAGATTGAACACCTTTATTTAGTTTTGTAATTCCCTCAAATTCATGCAAAATTTAGGTAAGACGCTTTCGTAACAACGTTCCAAGCCTGAATGAATAAATCTAAGCAAGTATGTCATGAGGAAGCCGAGGCACACACTGATCTTTGGAATAAACCTGTGTCCACAACTGCATATTTATCGCTCCACTCAGTAGAAACATCAACCACGGTGTCACATAGAAAACTGAAATGTTGTAATGTAAACTGATCAATAAAAAGTCATCGGCCACATGTTGGAAACAGTATGAGGTAGGTGAACCTGATCCATATTTGCTGGCACTGACGCATGCTGCGTAGAATCTAATCTGCATATAAATTGCAACTGTGTTTGGAGCTTTCTTTCCGTCGACCAGGAAAAAAGACCACGTAGTTTCAACGCTTCCACCACGGTGTACATTTTCCGCATAGGAAATGTTTGGCAAACATTACTGTCAGTCGTTTCATACGTTTCCAGTCCTTTAGTTTTGCGTGTGATCACCGTGAACAAACGAAAGCGGAAGATTGAACTGTCGTGCGGTTATTCCACCGGCTTAGTTGAAGGTCGGGGGGAATAATCCAGACAGATTATTCTAGCTGTACAGCTTTGTCACGATGAGAAGAACAGTATGGTTCGCATAATTATTTATCAACTAACCTGATTCAGTACATTTGTAATGCACTACTCATAAGGTTGCTGAAAACCCATCGACAGCCCACGATGGGTTTCGTCCTTCTTGGGGCTCATCAGTTAGGCGCAGCCCGGAGATTCTGTCAAATTTATGTTTTTGCTGAAACGAAACTGCACGATGTTAGCGAAATACACTTATTTGCAAACTAATTTGTTTTGACGAGAGACTCACCTGGAACCCAGTTGAATCTCTCATTTGTGGTGTTTCCAGGCGGGTTATCTGGATGGCAACCGAAATCTAACCTGCAGGGTTCCTCTCTTGGAGAAACTGCAGTAGTCGCAGTTCCACTCCGCGATAGTATCCACGTCTTAGTGACATTCTGGAATGTTCTTCTAACGATATCTATCAAGCATGGTACACTTATGTGCAAACCAATTTAGTTATTACTGCGGAAGACTCACTAGAAACCAAGCCGAATCTCTCGATTATGAAGTTCTACTATTTTTATTTATTTATTATATCCATCATGATTCAGTGTAACCGTTTGTGTAAGTTGAACCATACGGTCAAGTATACGCAATTCTGTCATTCAACAGTTGGTCTGATTCTATGCTTTTTACAACGTCCCCGTTCGGTTTCACCGCAGCACAGTGAATTAGCCAATTTCTATGCATTTTGATACCGTTCGAATTAGCAAAAGCCTATGCATAACCATATTTATACCCACAATCATTAAAAAGCTCACAAGTTAGTGTCTCCTGAATAAGTAAATTAAGATGACTCGCAAAGAATGACTGTGCCCTGCTAAGCGGATAACTTGTTGTGTGGATAATCTACTACGTACGACAGGGTTTGAAGGCGGGTGCGATGAATCAATCATCATCATCATCTTCATCATCATCATCATCATCATCATCATCAAAGACAGCCCTCAGCCGTCTACGCTCCTGTGCGCCCCGCGGGTAAGCCAGCGGTTGTGGTTGACTGTGAGACGTTGAGCGGAGTTTAGTTGTGAGTCAGAACAGGTCCTCGTAGATACGACACGTGGGTCGTGGTTCCAAGGTGGCTGGAATGACGAAACTGGAAGGTAATGGACGGCATTCTGGGAGAAGAAGAATATTAATAAACCACATCAACTAAAGTGCACTGTCTCGGTGATTAGTACCATAAATTTTGGATAGTAATATCTCCCAAACGATATCCTTCCATGTGTCGAGTAGATTGCTACTAGGAGAACCACCCACTATCATTCTGTCACTCGTTCGAGGTGCTAAAGAACGACCGTATTCGAATCTATCATAATAATTCAACCAAGAATTATTTCAGGCGGAACACCGCCTGTCCGGTCTTGAGCCCCTTGGTTTTTAGAATATCAGAAGAAATAGCAAGGTGGTCTGTCTGCCCCCAACTCCTCTCGAACGTAGCATACAACGTTGGCGTAGACAACGTTGGCGTGGACAGAATCACTGTCCCGTACACTTTCACGTTAGACACAATCTACCTCTTTGCCGTTCGAATAAACTTCGGATCGAACTTTGTCAGACTGACGAGTCTGACACAACACTGTATCGCGGGGTGTGGGTATAATTCATGGACGTCCTTGAAATTGAGTGATATTTATTGGCATGATACTTCCACGAGCAACCGGCTAGATTTGACCAGACAGCATCCCCTTATGAGGAGGTGGAAATCGAATTAACTTCTTGCACCTATCGTGTCGTGTTCATTCAAGGTCAAAAATACAGGTCGACGAATACCAGAAGACTTGGATTTGTTGAGAGAGATTTTGTACCTAACTTCGCCACTCTGAGGACCTCAGTACAAAATTTTTGTTTCAGGCCAAGTGTAAGCATTCCGCGAAGCGTTCTCAGCTTTTCACACAACTCACATCCACGAAAACACTAGTGAGTGCGGTGAATAAAGTTGTAAAACTCGAACGATTTCCTTTGAACACAACCATAATCTACTTCCAAATCTCAAGTAGTCTGATTTTCTTCGATTGTGAAATTGAGAGTTATTTGGCTGCAAGTAGGTAGCAGCAATAGCAATTACAAACAATAATTCAACTTGATCTTTCAACGTAGAAGCCATTTCGACTCAGAGCTGCCCTATTTTTCACTTATGCTGATGTGGCAACGGGCTGTGAGTCGATGGCTCGGCAGACATGGGATGGTTTACCTCAGATGTCTGCACTGATTTTCAGCGCCAGGAACGTCCTTCGTAACACAGTATAAGCGAAATTGTTCTGCAGATTATCACTTGACCAGTGGTTAACTCAAAGTAACTGCTGAGTGTAGACCTCATGATTGGTGGTCTTCTGTCTGAAGGGACAGTTCCGCCCTCCACCACCCAGCTGAAAGCCATCACGAAGAAGACATCAGAAATTATTTGCAACTGAGTCCCAGCGAACCTGCGACAGACACTATCTTTATCACGAGTGACAAGGCATCCGGTTCCTGTTTAGTTACGAAGAGCCAGGCCAACCATGAGTCAACGTTCACCCTAAAGTGCCTGAAAAATGACCTTTCCGTGCAAATGGGTTATCCAATGGCTCTTGTCCGATACGGCAAGTCATACGATATGCGAAGAAAGACTACATCAAGGTCTGGGATTTTAATCGGAGCTCGGAATTCTCATGAGTTCCCATTAGTTGTTCTACGACGGCTAATAACTCAGCTAAGTTGCTTATATATTCTTGTACGACCTGGCTGTGGGTATTACTATGGGCCTCTCCCTCAAAGTTTTATCTCTGTCGAAATGATGTTTGAAACACTAATCAGCTGGTGCAAATCTGTCAACTGTTATAAGTTTAGGGGGGGGAATTACCACAGTCAGAGAACTTTCCGGTTGCTGTTTCCAGAATTTTCCAGTTGAGCTTGCGCAACCTTGAATCGCACTGATAAAAGTAATGAGATTCACTTGTCACCAAAAGTCCACGAAGCCTCAAAATTTCATGTACTTCTAGTTTCTTCTGTGTGTCTCTTCATTTTTGAGGTAAACGACGGTCTCACTGTTAAAGCTTTTCGTTTGATCCAAATGGCATAACTGAGTTTCCTGACCATTATGATTTGATGAGTTATTTATCCCTACCCATTTCAATCCTACCCATCTACAGTCTGCAGTTTCATCTTGGCCAACGCACGCATTGTTGACTATCCGATCGTTTATTGCAACGAGGGCTTCTCCAAACTGATTGGCTATAGTCGTGTGGACATTATGCAAAAAAGTGGTAACTGTGCCTACTTCTACGGAGAGCAGACCACGCAAGAGATGCGTGACCGACTGCTCAAAGCACTGGACACACAAACACCAGATCAGATTGAAATGTTATTTTACAAAAAGAACCGTGAGTTTGTTTATTCTTATCTCTGGAGAGGTGAAACCGGATGTCTGAAAGTTGGGATATGGTTTGTTCAATATGGTCTCAACACCTTTTTCTAGCTAAACAAAAGTTGAGTTCGCTGTGTTCGTCCGTTCACATGAGCAGATCTGAAATCTCCAACCAACTGAAGAGTAGTCCAACGAACTCTATTTTTAGTTTTCCGACCACTTTTGCTCATAAAAAGACTGGGGCTAATTTGTACCAAGAGAAATTAGAAGCGTTTGGGTTACCGGAGCTAATAATGGCTTCATGTGACTTAAATGACCAGATGCAAGTAGTATGTGGAAGGACAAGAAGGTGCGGTAGTCACGAAATCAGGCAATGGAGGAGATGTAAAACTCGACGAAACCACTTACTCTCTGGATCAGAAGTGAATTCTCTTCCGAGATATTCTTGATGGAATTTCCGAAGGCGCAGCGTGCCCAGACTCTGTGGACGAGGGGAGAAAATAGAGATACTTCTGAGTTGAATGGGGTAAACTGAGCTCGACGGATGATGGAACGCAAAACGATCTTATGAGAGGTGTTCAGTGTCTACACATGTCTCGAATTTTATTGAAATGCTGATCAATGTATGCAGATGACTTGTATGTACAGGGAGACTTGTGGCGTGAAAGCTTTACCAAAGGGCTATTTTTTCATTCAGGGCGTTCAACAAAATTGAATTTGGGCCGTCCACGGGTAGAGTGTAGAGAGTGTGGTCCAATGGGCTCCTTTAACATCTAAATGGCCAGCCTGAAACTGAACAACGGGCTTCGTCAGGACGTCAGTGGCTCAAAAATGGCAGTTTCCTTCGTTTTTTTGGTGATTAAACACCATCTGTGCGCTCGCGGGCGCAAGCCTTATTCACATTTTGTGGGTGATTGCGATATATAGTGTATTCGGCTCCGAACTTCAATTCTCGCGCAATAGTTCTCCATTTAGGTAACACAAGGCGCAAGCCTTATTCACATTTTGTGGGTGATTGCGATATATAGTGTATTCGGCTCCGAACTTCAATTCTCGCGCAATAGTTCTCCATTTAGGTAACACAAGTGCTCAGTCGAACTGAGCATGCATTTGGTCTTGCCCAAAATATGAGCTGATCTAATCCGACACGTGAGAGAGTCGTGATCGCACCACTTCACCGGCTTTCGGAATATTGGGTGGCTGGCTCCCTGAGTCCCTCTGCCGGCAGTCGGAAAGCACTCTTCAATGTACTGTCACTGAATAAACACTTGTTACGCTTCCGTGGTTTAGGGATCAGTCCTAATAAACTAGAAGCTGCCTGCCAGACAATCCTCACAGTGTTGTAAAGCACCGCTTTGTACATAAGTCGATTGGGATTCACGGAAGCAAGCGTTTATCCCAATTCTTCCAAACCATACTATTGGCAGTTTGCAATAATCTGATTGTCACGTGATCAAGTTCGGCGCGAATAGCCCCCACAGAGGCGACCTTTTCAAAAAAGACCCGGTTGTGATAATGTGGATAAATAAGATTTTTAAAAATCTACTTATTGTTTTGAAAGCATTCGACTGCGACTCTTTTGGAAAATGCGGTTGATCTTGGCATTTTACGTAAATCTGGGTGAAAAGCTGACTTGCTAAGAAGGAGAGCGTTCATTCCCGACCTACCCAAAAGCGTAGAACAATAAACTGGGGCCGCGTACTAAGAGTCTCATTGTATAGCACAAAACCAGAAATGAATATTGCATCCAACTGTCACGGGACGGGAAACAGGAGGGCTTTCTTTGAAATGAAAAATTGGTTTCTGGTAAATGTGATTGAAAATAAGATACCTGGGCCTTCATATCACATTGAAATAGATATCTTAGTACCGTTTCAGGGTAACACTGCTATTTGGAGCACGCTAATTTGTCAACAAGTTTGAGGTTAGCAGTCCGCCCAAGAAGTGCATACGTGTCCTCCGTGACTCGGTGACTTGCTCCGTCTCGTAGGGCTTGCAACTTTGTGAGAGGAAACAAGGTGAACTTTAGTTAAGAAGGCGTGAAGATGCTGTGATATTCAATATGGCCACAACCACTTGCACTGCGCATTTTTTTAAATCATCGCCCACCTTCATCCACAGGAAACTTAAACTGAAAGAAACACATTCATTAGTGTACTGTGACAGAGTCTGTGGAATTGTTAACCAGAATAGCTTTGTTTTTCAGCCTGCTGATCGAAGCTCATTTACCGTTACATCCTGTTGAAGTGCATAGGTAAACTATCACAGACCTGCAGTTTTTCAGGGCAACCGAGTCAAAGGGGGAACGATATTCGTAACTTAAAAAAGTAATCTTTAATTGTCTTGGAAGCACTACTCGTTACATTCGGCGATGTTGTTTCTTGATGTCGCGCATGACTCAAGTTGAACAAAGGCGCCAGAGTTTCCAAAATTCGTTGATCAGCTACCCCGCTGGAATTTTATTTTTGCAGCTACGGAGTTTATAAGAAATTTGTAAGCGTAAGGCGTCCGAAGTATGACTCTACACACCATAGAGGCGAACCCGATTCGAAAACGAGGGATTATTAACGACGCTCATTTGCAGGTGGGTTGTTCAGAAGATTCCTGGTCCACCAGTAAGAGATTGACGTCAAAGCTTACTGGTGTCAAGAGCTCACGATCGTCGCCAGTGGTGAAGAAATTTCGCTTTCGCTTATTACACAAAACAGACTGTCGGGCTGGTATATTCGCTAATTTCAGGATCATTCCTTGCTGACAGAGTCGGTGCAGAATTTTCTGACAAAAGGCAGCCATCTCCACAATCATGGACTATACAAGGAGTGTATACTGTTTGATGCCCTCTGATTTTTTTAGTTTCCTCGAAGTTGTTTTTACATCCCTCCATAATGATTATTGTACAATGATTATCGCGCAACCCTGTCGAATCCCTGGTAGCTACGGACTAACTGAAAAAATTGCCCGCCCCCTTCTTCTGAACCACATCGGCGTTATAGAACAAAAAAATTCACAATTGGACTAGCAAGTATAACATCGCAACGTCATTGCTAGTATGATGTCACTTCTAGTTCCCTGTTGGGTTAGACTCCTCAAATCACTGTTTAGACAACCTTCCTCTTTGTACATGATCAGTTGATCGTTGATATGTCAGTTACGCTTGGAAGTTAGCTTGCACTAAACGAGCTGATGCCATCAATGCGTGGCTGAATAAGTCACCGATAATGTGAGCTCAATTGGTGACGAAACGTTTTCACAGTCTGACTGTCGAGTTCGGAGAACGGATCTACGACCGAATGCAACTGAGCTAGCAATATCCTGATGCCTCTGCAACAGTCTGATTTGTATTTTCCACGTCGTCTTGTTTCTTGTAACCACCAAGTTATGCCTTCAAAACCGTACCTGCTGAATCAGATTCAGCTGCTGATCTTCAAGTATTCATTGAAAATTTCTCTTCTCCTCTCTTTTCTCTCTTTTTTCTCTCTTTATCAGATTCACCCTTGTGGCTTCTGGTTTGCATCTCTCCGGTCCGGAACGAACAGGAAGAAGTCGTTCTGTTTCTGCTAGCCTTTCGTGACATCACGATGCTGAAAACCCCATTCGAGGATGAGGAGTCGGCCAAAGGTGAGCTGGAACCGAGTTGCACGTGGAATTTCTTTATGGGGAGCAAGAGCTATGGGAAATGAACTAATCAGATTTTGGATGTATCTGAGTGGACAGGGTATCTCAGCTCTTTGTCTACCTCTAATTAGAGAATAGCCGTTTTGTGTGACACTCCATTCTGAACAATCGTCCCACATTCAGTTTAAACTGTGAACGTAAACCAAGATAAATTTATCCCATAGATCGAAGAGTTGGTACAAAACTCATGAAAACGGCGGGGGCTCTATTACCCGTAATTTCTCGAGAATTATGAGTTGGAGATCTTGGTGGTTAACAATGGATGAGTCTGATTCCCGGTCATGTGTAGAAAGGTGGACCTAAGTGATGAATGACTTTCAGCGAACACAGAGATCTTTTGAATAGGTTGGTGTTTTCTTTGTTGAACAATGTGAACCGTTTATGGCCATCGGAATAGACTTGTTTGACTGTAAGGGACTGGGCAAAAGCCAGTGTTTATCCTGCCTCGCGATGTTATATTTAATTATTTTAATTAATAATTAATTAATTAATTAATCGATTAATGAATTTTCCTGTTCGCTCTTTTGTTTTTGTTTTATTATTTTACTGCAAAATGCAGTTGGCGAGATTGTCCATCAGAACGAGGCAGAACAAAAAGATGTAATCTCCTAGTAGAATCTTAGAATATTACTGGGAATCCACGGAGAACAGAAAGGCACAATTTCGTACTCGGGATGAATTTTTTTGTCATACAAGAGACCTCAAAAACGTTTGTTCGAAACGGTAATCAGTGTCGTCAGTATTTTTAATTAGAGTCCGCGGCGAATAACTGAATATTTTGGGCGGATCGTCCGTGATGGTGAGACAAGTGACATGGTGAAGGACGTTACGCTTCACTTGAAGCACTCACCTGGAAAGTTCACAGTCATATTGGTTTCTTTCCCTTTAGACGAATTTTGCGACTCATTCCGTTGTGCGCACACCTGGTCGTGCGTGTGTTCCCACGCGTTTGCGTGTCCGCATAAAACAGTGAACCTTGATCACTTTGGGTGGTCACTTGAGCACACGGAAGTAGCGAGAACATTCAGCTCTAGAATCTGTCGTCGCAAGGTCCTATGTTAAGTCGAAGGTAGTATTCATCGAAAAGGGAACATCTCCACCAATATCAAGATCGTTGCTAATGCGATTTCGTCTTGCTCGTGAAATTTTGAAATGCCTAGATGCTCTATACAGCTGCTTCATCCTTATTAGGATGTGCGATTAATATCGCACATCTCACAGAAGCCCTAGAACCGGTGACCTCCAGGCTAACAGTGTGAGCACACAAACGTTCGACCACGAACGAGTGAAGAACAGTGTGATCATCTTGCATACTTGGCTCATGTCGAAATCTCGAATGTTTCAACTACTAGCCACAAGGTTGAGGAATCGGGACACAGTAGAGCTCCAGTAAGGAGAAAAAGCTGAACAGTATTAATCGGCTTTCTAGCACAGACTGGCTTCATGTTCACAACAAAGTCTCATAAAGGAAACTACTAACAAGGCTGCTGAAAACGCTTCGACAGCTCACAATCGGTTTCGCCCTTCTTCGGGCTCATCAGGTAGGCGCAGTCCCCGACTTTCTGGCAACCTTATTTTCTACTTGAACCAAAATTGGACTGTTTTCGAGAATAAGATAAACGAGAGATTCAGTTGAGTCTCTTTGGAACAAAGTCTCATTTAAAACATCAAGGTCTTCTACCAAGTGAGCAAGTGCGGATCGAATGTACTGCCAGAATTAGACATCTGTTTCCAGGGCAGTCTTACGACTGCCCACGATTGCGCATTAATCCCGATAAACGTACGTTCGCTATCCACTACTTTTCTACACATCGTAGAGTTAAGGTGGGTATCTCACCTACGCACAAATCGTGGCAGGAATATTTTATTATCTGCTCAGGAGCACATTTTTAGGAAATTTTTTCTGTGACGAGAAAAATTATTCGGAAAGCGGTTAGACAACTCCGTGTTTTATCAAGTCGAAAAGGTGTTGGAACGAATCAGAGTGAAGTCATTGTTCCGGAACGAAAGTTTAGAGGTACGAAGCCCTATTCACTCACGGTTGTTCCATATTATCCATGGGATACGTTAGAGCTCGTCACCGACCTTCACACGGTGGACTGACGATTTTGCGCATCACTTTGAGGGCTTACTTTTCATGCTGCTTCTGAACAGTTTTTCACCGTTGAGCTTTCATCTGTGCTCTCAAGTAACCTTTTGAACTAGTGGTCTGCACGTTTTCTCATGCAAAATTCAACATAACTTGAACCCTGCAGATGAAGTCAATTTGTTTTCAGAAGATAAGGGGCACTCTACAGTTGCTTCACTCTTCCTGGAAATCATCGTCAGTGCGCATCTCATGAATTTCCAAGGCGAATCGAATCCAGAACCTCGCGGATAAACCGTTTGTCAACGAGCAACCGATTGTCGGTGCGATTGTGACGGAATCAGGCGGAGTATGCTGCCGCCCATAGTTCGGTCACGCGATTCCGACCACGTGATCCCATGTTGACTAATACATCAATTGATGACATGTCAGATGGGGTATCCGAACTAGCTTGCCAACTGACTTTTATGATTGTGTTAGTCAGTCTATTTACGCGAGAACCACGTCACTAGCCTGAGTTGAAACGAGCGTTCCATTAGAATGTTGAGGTCGAAATGGGATCTATATCATGTGTACTTGCAGTTTTCTTTACCTTGGGAAACCGAATTAACCCGAATGAATGGGGGGCTAACTGGTCCCGTTTGACAGCTTAGTAGTTCACTGGAAAGAAAGTACGGATCTACCACGCAGTCGGATGAAAACAAGGTCAAGTAAATGCAAAGCAATCTGCTTGATTAGTATTTCGCGAGAAGTTTAGGCAGATGTGCATAAAACGTTTAGCATAGCCGTTTTCCATCAACGTTTCTCAAGAGTAAGAAGTTAAAAATTAAAATACAGCAAGAGTTATTGACCTTAAAAATGGAAACCCGCGTCTTTGAGTTTCTTGTTCTTCTGTTTCGTAACCAGGTTTGAGCAAGTTTGCGCGACTAGCTCGTTCGGTCACTCGGAACCGTTCCACATTACAGCAGCTTTCCGCCCCACACGCAGCACCATCAAACGCCAGTGAGCTAGTACAATCCAATCGGCTGCTTGTACCCAACTCAACTGCACTGAGTGGATCTCGGTCGCCCCTGAGTTCGAGTACCAGTGGTAACACTTTTTGCCACAGCTTCAACGCCAGCATGAGCGGTTTTCGCCTTCACGAATCCACTCGATCCGACCCAGAAAAGGGAGTTATGGTAAGTGGTTGGGTTTTATTCTGTTTCCTTGTTTGCCAAGATATCAAGCGGATCAGATTGCTTGAGTGGGTAGAACTGGGCATCTCTAAGGTTCCAGTGAGCACGTTGGATAACCAGACTACATGCTGTGACTAATGTTCGAAAAACCGTTCGTGTTATAATTACTCCTGACTGTATTTGGCGCCCGATGACTCAAATCGTTTCTAGGTCAAGGTACTCCTTGACCGGTTTGATGAACTGAAACACATCAGTTCCCACCGAAGTTGACCTACTGCAAATTCGATCCGTTGCCACAATGGCTGTTGATCCGATTGCCGTGAATGAATGCTACTCTCATTGTTGTCTGTCACTGTTGCCGGTTTCTTCTGGTGTTCTTTTAGCTTGCAAGATCTACTTCTGGTACACCGGAAAGCCACAAAGTCAGTAAAACGGAAAGTTCGCTCTGAACAACAAACGCGAGCACCTCGAGAAATAACAAATGATTCTTAAAGTGTACGGGTTTCGTAGAAGAGCAGGTTGTGCAATACAGAGTACAACATTCTCTCATGCACTTCAAAACAAAACCACAATTAACAGATGGAGTTTGGGGTTCGAGCGTAGGGGAGAGCTGAATCCACACTGACATATTTCTGACATTCCATCCACCCCGAAGGTTATCCAATTTAGAAGAACAGTGTTCAAAGCATCTGAGATTCTGAAGCAAGTTAACTCAGTGTGCAAAAGGTCAGTGGTCTGGATTGTGTTCAGCATAAAAACATCCCATTCCGCGTGCAAATAGGAAAACTCGACGGTAATACGCAGATGGAGGATGATATGTCTGTTCGTCTATCCTAATCAAAATTCTAACAAGACAGCTTAGCTGAAGAATTCATGTTCCTGGTGGTTGATCGGATGGCAGTTGATTTGCTCGCCGAGCTTTGTAATTGGCTTGCAAACCTTTCGTCCCCAGTCGAGCAGACATCGTCAGTGCGCAGCTGAATAGGTGCTTGCTCCGTGCCTAGCTGCGTTAAGGTAATTTTTTGTAGATTATCTAATATCCTATTGATGACGTAGCCCTGTGCGGAAGGAACTACGCATGTGTGTTAATCCCATAGTTTCGAAAAACGGATGTGATGAAGTTCCTCGCAGTGTCTGGTTCTCTAGCACAACCAGCTGGGATTTGTCTCCGTAGTTCGGCAAAGTTTTAGGGTGAATTTTTAAATAAGACTTGTCTCCGACCTGTGAAGTCATAAAATTCAACCCACTCATCGACAGACCGATGATCATGGCCTAAACTAAACAAAAGCCCCCCTGGGAATTCTTGTAAATTTTGAGGAAACGTACGGAAGATTTACCATGCTGCAGCCAGATTTAGTGCAAATCTCGGGCAGAAGGAATCTCTTCAACAGGTTGATGCCTTTGTTGCTGTAGCCTCAAATTTTCGATTCCAAAAGTTAGCAGTCTCCGAAGTTAACTTTTTGAAATCTAACTTCGACGTCATCGTACAATCAACATATTCGCTCGGTGCAACTCAAAATCTTGTACAATTCTTATCAGGTCAGGAGCAACCCATAGGTTTAACTCAATTCAGTGGATCAATACCACTGAACACTACAATCCCTAATGGAGATTTTGTCCCGTTAGTGAAGTTAATCTGTTAGCAATGTTGTCGAATGTAGGTAGCTCGGGTGCGCTGTTTGGTTGTTGGTCTGTTCGCCGGGCTTGGCAGTTGGATTGCAAAGGTTTCATCACCAATCGAGGTGACATCGTCAGTCGCTCAACCCTGCACTGACGATGTCACCTCGATGGGTGATGAAACGTTTACAATCCAACTGCCAAGCTTGGCGAACAGACCAACAACCAAATTAATTTGTGTTGAAAATTCGAGGGGCACTGCACGACCATTTGGTTCTTGTTTGGGAGTCATCAGGAAGGAGTACCTCACTAAACTCAGAGAGCTCAATTGAAGTAACTTTACTTGGATGGTTAGGTCAGCTGGTGACAATTGAGTGTTTCCCCTGGCCGGGAGGTCACGCGCCTGAAAGCCTCCGGATTTCATGAGATACACACTGCTGACGATTCCCTAAAAGATGAAATAACCGGGTAGTGCTCCTCCGCTCTTCATTGACAGACGGAGTCTCGCTTAACCGGTCCCCTTACATCATGAATGATAAGTGTCTCGTTCGGAGATCTTTGAAGACATCGTCACTAAGACCATACTAGTAACCAATAGCAGAATAGACCTGAAGTACTAAAAAAGAACAATACATCCTGGCACATTCTGGCAGAGTTTGCTCTGCGTCATTTCGCACAGCAACCGCAACTAGGCAGGTAGCCTTCGTTCTTGACAATAGCAAGCATGTGATGGAATTCCGGTCAAAATATTGGTCAGTAACTGACTCTCCACATCTGAGATTATTCGTGGGCCGTTGACGATAGCCGTAGAGTAACTCTGAGGTCCTTGTTAGCCCAGGCGACTTATAGCGCTAAAGGAGTAAAAACGTTTTCAAAAAGAGTGTAACCAGTTGCTACGTGACAGTTTTTGGACACATTATTCCGAGTGTTCACACCCAGTAATGTACTTGTAAGTTAAGGCTGTAGAGGTCATGATACTGTGGGCGAATACTTGTACACTAAAACCCACATCTCACAGGTCACTAGTATCGGACGGTCACCTGAAGCAGTTGTTTTCACATACATACATACACACATAGTTGGTTTTGACAAAAGACTGCTGAATTCTGCTAAATCTCTCGATTATGCTGGTCGCAATATGTCGAATTCTGTCAAATGTGGGAAACTTGGGGAGCTTGGAGCTTCAAAAAGAGAGGGAGAACCAGTCGCGGACTGTCGAAGAATTTTTGGCAACCTAGTGCGTAACGTGTTGCGCCTAGACAGACCCAAATGCGCTTTTGCGCTTGCTGCCAAAACTGGGAGCTTGACTTCAGCCGATTTCGCTACGTCAGGGACCAAGAAGAGTGTTTGCTACTCGTGCAACGGTCGACTGTCATTTATTTTTGAACAGAATGGTCACAAACATAAGAAGTCAATGCAAGCGACGAATGCGAAAGGGTAACAGTAGAATATGAGATAAAATAGAGAAACGTCTCGTTGGAATCCGTGCCGAAAACAGTTTTAGTCAGATGAGATGAATCCCAACGTATGTAGACATTTTGGTATGGTAACACGCGTCTAAAAACCAACAACTAAAGAAAGGACAAACCATGTTGAACGCTGTGCAAGCCACGGTAAGCGCTAGCCTAATCAAGACTCGCACAGTGGCACAAGATGTCCATCATACTGAGATTATATGGCAAAAATGTCCACTCATTTCCATGTGCCACGCATAAAATCGTCGTACGTACCCAGAGAGCCCCCAATGGCAAGCAAA